CCGAACTAGTTAAAACCTTGAGCTGCAGAAAGAGTTCTTCAGAATTGGTTTGGCAACCGCTGTGTCAACTCGTGACACACCACCTGTCTTGTCAATTCTCCGGCCGTAACTCCAAATAAACCGTCAGTGTTTGCCATCAAAGCTCCAGCTCTCCTCATGTCTCTTTGAGTCCTGACTCTCCATTGCTACAGAAGTTTCCCCCACAGTTTGCATACGTATTATGGACTTTTTTAGTAGGGACACAGAGTACATCTTCTTTTAAGAACTACTTCTTGTAAGTACTTTATCGACTTTTTTCAAATAAACAATATCCGACAGATTTAATTTGCAATATGTTTTATGTCAGACAGTAAAACATGTTTTAGAGGAACTTTTAAAGTATTTTTAATTGAAATGTTTCCATCATTCTGTCTTCACCAGACAGTTTAATTATTCTAAATGTGCAACAAAAAACAATAAGATCAAAGTGGTGGCCCCTGTAGCAGCCCTTTTGTAATCAGGCACCAGCACATCAAATGTAGAGAAATGCAATAAGGAAGTGATTGTAGATGATTTCTTTGTAGACAGCTTATTTAATAAACTATTTCCATCTGTGAGAGTATCCCTCTTCACTTCATCTCAGAAGCAAATATCATTGTTTTTACTCCACTACATTTTGCTGACAGGTTAAGTTACTACTTTTCCGATTACAATTTTTATACCATTCCTCGAGTGAAACTATGTATCCACGGATTTGGTGAGATGTTCTATTAAAGTGAAGGATGAAATGTGAATGAAACCCGAATGATCCCCTGACTATTATATTTAAATAAGATGTGTGTTAACAGAGAGAGAGAAAGTCACAGTGGGAATTGGAAGGATTTTAGAATCAAGGAAATAAATTAGGTGTTGAGTGAGTGTTATAGATAGACGTAACACCACAGTTTTGAGAGGATAAGACATGGTTTGCCTTTCCATGACATGACATGACAAATTCTCTATATCATTATTTTGTCTATAATGGTTATTGGACCGCTGTTTTCTACACTGTGGTTTCCATTAGGAACCGAAGCAACTGTTTAATAGCAGAGAACTGACAAAGAGCAGTGACCAGGCCAGGGTCCAGGGATTTAAAGTTGGCGGAGATTTCATCTATTTGGATAACCTCTGATGAAAAAATGCTTCTTTCCTTGGACCATTCGCTGCTGCAAGGAGAGGCTGTGGAAAATAATAACCGTGAACCTCACTGTAATGATAAAACCAAAACTCTGCCAGTTGTAATGATTGCTTCAATGAGAGCAGATGTACAGTTGGTAGAGGAGATAAGCAATAAAAGCCTCCTGGCATTTCAAATTATATCTGATATCAATTTGACTGATTCTAACAGCCCTCAGTACGTGTATGTTCTCTCTGGATGATGACAACGGGACATGACCTAAAATGTCTTCTTTTTTTTACTCCAACATCAAGGATGGATTTACTTCATGACATTTCCATTAATCCTTATACTAACATAGTAATCCTCCAATCTGTGTACTACTGGAAAAAACAGATGTGATCTCTTAGGCGCTTCATCATGCATTTGGATGCCGTATGAAATAATTATTCTGCCCCTTCCTGTAGAACAATATTACTTCTGTAATGTGCCCATAATCACAGGGCATGAAGGACATTCCTGAACTTTTGGTCGCATGAATGCAGGCCGAAGAGAATATTGAGAATGACCAAAAGGCCCTGTGACAGAAGGGTAACATGTCGCCAAGCATCCAGCCACATATTTCCTGCGGTCAACCCGGCTTTCTTCATACGTTTATGAATTTTTTTCCTCAGGGCTTTCTATTATCCAAGCTCTCCTCAGAATGAGAAGTATTTTTCTTGTTGAGTAAAGACACACAGATAAAAGCGCGAGAAAAATAAAAGCCATCTTTGTTCCGTAATCATCATAAAACTGCTGACTGTCTTCGTTTTCCTCCGCTCACACCGTGTACGCTCGCACAAAGACATCACACATGTGATAAAGTCATGAAGCCGGCTTGCTTGAGAAGACTTTCCCTCTCTGCCACAGTGAGTGATATGAGCCATGCAAACCCAAATTACATTTATGATCTGCTCCGTGCCAACGCGGGCACACAATCAAAGCCTTCCACTGAATCATTTAGCATATTTATTTAGCTGGCAACTTCACGAGCAGTCAGACCTGTCTGTGTGGACGCCCTCATTTGTATTTTCTGCTGACACGCGCTGGAAAGTGCCGAGCCAGTGACAGTCACTCTCTCATTAGCAGGTTTTTTCTGTGGAGGCTCCAGAGCCTGTGGGTGGCCTGGAGCGGTGCTTTCTCTCTGCATCTTCTTTCCATGGAGACCTGGAGCCTCCACTCACCCTGAATGTACCCTTTCCAATGTCTGAGGAGATAAAAAAAATGCATCCAATATTTCAGCAAATAGAAACCATATCCAAACAAAGGTAGGGAATAGTCATTACTTTAAACCAAAAGCACATGTGAGTAAAAAATGACTGGACACTTTCTGCATTGAAAGCACAACCTTGTAAAGAGCAGAGCGCTGAGTTTGGTGCTGAATAATTACTGCAGCTCTCTGTCAAGGAAAGTGAGAAAATGATTTATGGAGTGTCTCACCACTTTAAATTGAGAAAAGGTAATAAAATAGCCGTCAAAGCTGAGAGCATCAAGCAAAGAAAGTTTTGTTGAATTGTTGAGGTGAAGACAAATAGGAACATAAGAAGATAATGGTTGTGATGGGTTTACCTTCAGGACAAACCCTTTTTGAAATACAAATATTGAACATCTGGTGAATACATCTGCATACGAGGTCACTCCCCTAGAGTTTTCCACATAGTCTGTTGAATAAGCTAATGACTTGGAAACATTTTTTTTTTTAATAATTTACAAAGTACTTACAGAGAGAAACAAATCAAACCCAGCAAAACTGCAACTTTTGATAGAAGGAAAATGGAGTTTGTAATATTAAATAATTTACAGAGCACTGACGGGGAGAAAAAATACTTCAAACCCAGAGAGAGTGCAACAAAACTCTTGTAAAATAAGAAAGAACATATTCATATTATATATTAACAATAGGCTAATTGTCTTATTTATATTTATTCATTTACAGAGGACTTAGAGAAAGAACAAATCAAATCCATTATTTTATTTTTTTAATGTTACATTTAAATAAAGGAGCATGAGAAGTTAAGTTAAAATATAAAAGGAGAAATCCACAGGGCATCAAATGAAACTTATGTTGAACTCAATTAGATCATAACGAGACATACTGTGGAGACAAAAGCAGCCCATAATGCTGCTTCATTTGATGTTTTTTGCAAATTGTGTGTCTTTTGTAAAAGATGATGGGAAAAATATGTCCCTCTCGTAGAATCTGTCGAAACAGGACTATGTAACGTTGTATAATAATGTTCTTAAAATTGTGACTTTTTGACATCAAAGTGTCCTCTGTGAGAGCTTTCAGCACATGTTGCCACATCGTCTGAAGTGGTGAGGACAGTGATCACATTCAAAGACGCCATTCAAAAATGTATATTTTATGATATTCAATGTATAGGACAAAATAAGAAAAGTGGTCTCTACGTTACCAAACATATCCTGCGTATTTTACTGTACATTGAGCATATCAAAGCATATTGTCTTTAGATCACATCTGCAATACATCAGGCGATAATGGGTTTAGGAAGTCTTATTTGTACTGGTGAAAAATGCAGACACAGTTGGTTTGGTGGTTAAAGTAACCCTTGAACCTTTTAGGGATTTACCGCATCAATATGCCTCAAGAATATGTTTTGAATTATCATTATTCAGCTTGGATTAAGTCAGGTGACATGGTAGTGTATCATCTCACTGAGATAAGAGCTCGAGCTAGATTTAAACCTGCTTAAGCATGTGAGCTACTTGTGTGGTTTATGATTGTAATGAAATATGATAGCTTTCTATTATTAAGGGAAAACATTTACTTTCATTAGCCTGGAGGTTTAGTCATATTTTCTTAGCTGGCTTACTCTCATTGAAGGGGTTTAAAACAAATACAACTTCATGTATGAACAAGTTGCAACCATCTTACCTTTTTAACTGGAAGGTTCTGCTGTTTTTATTTCGCAATTCTGAAACCAAATCCGATGACAGTTTTGGGTTTGTTTCTCACGTCAACCCAACATAGTCCAGGAGAAGTAGCTACAACCTTTATATTCCTAAAGGTGGGGTAGGTAATTCACTTCAGATACACTTTTTGTTATATTCCATGGAATGCTCTTAACATCCCGATAGCAATGAATACATTAAATGCTTTGACAATAAATACATAAAAGAATGTCATCTGTGGAAGCCGTGGCGCTGTAAAAAGCACGACCAATCATTTTAGCCGGCCTGGCTAAAGTCACTGGATGGCCTACCTGCCTGTCAGCCTTCCATCTGTGCACAAACTTATCTCGTGCCCTCATTGGTCATGTGCGCGTCCGTGTGTGTTGGAGGAGGGGCTCTGTAAGGAAGTCTGAAGGAAGAGGCAGATTTCTTCCGGTTGTGTACTTTCAAAATCTAGCGCACTCGAGCTGGTTTCTCCATTCTTACCTACCCTACCTTTAATAAGACGGTTTGTTGTTTTTTTCTACATTGATGTAAGCTGTTCAAATGTTTTCTGAGAATGGAGCACATTATTTAGACCCCTTGAAAAGTTGTGTTTAAAACTGAATCTGAAAATAACTGTTTGCAAGAAAACTTCAGGGGCCACTTTAAGATTGGAAATCAAGTTTTACGTGCTTTTACTGTTCATGTCATTTAATGAAGGGTAAAGTAAAAGAAAAATTGAAAATTGCTATATGACGTTCTGCATGTCTGAAATAAGCCAGTGTTCTTTTTGACATTTTAAATAGATTGCATTTCATGTTTCTACCTTTTTTAATAAGCATTTTCCATGTTGCCTTTGTTCTACCTCCTGTCTTTTATTATAAAAACCCAAACATAAAAACGAGTAATAACCAGTCCTGTGTAACCAATGATACAAAATACATTCTTTTATTCATTCATCATACACAAATACGTAAATACACAAAACAAATCAGTATAGACACAAACAATATTTAGCGGGATATAAATCTTGACACCATTTACAGTACACACCATTTACACAAACTGTTTTGGAAATTCATGTGCTCGTCCCTCTTTTTGGAAACATCCTTATGATGCATTCAGTCTGTAATATCAAAGCCATCAATGCCTTTCCCCTGTGTCTATACACACAGCGTTTATCATTTTAACTACATTACTTTGAGTCTGCTCCTATTTCATCCCTCATTACTCTTCTCACCTAGATCATTTTCCTGCAACATTTAAGATTCATATTTTTATAATATGTACATGATATACATTGATTCTTAAATACATGGTCATTGTTTCCAATCTATTTACAATATAAGAGCTTATTGGTATTTTAAATGGTTACAAAATATGTGTAGTTGATGCTCTAAAAAGAGGCAAATGTGATATTATGTTGACTGTGTAGCTATCAAGTGGTTGTTTAAGGAAGTTGTGCTTTGGGGGGGCATTGCTTAACCTTCATAACAACAAAACTGCAGCTTATTTCATGAGAAAGAAGCGTGCTATGATATTTGGGAAAACTGAAAAAATAAACAGGGCTGTGTGTTGATGTTGATTCAATCTGCAATATATTTTAAAAAGCATCGGGTTTACGGAGCGTGTTTTAAGTCTAATCATCTTCTCACGACTCCTCTCCTGTTGGCATTGTACATGGAAAGAATTGCACTTCCATGGTATCCTTGAGTCCTGTTTATGTGATTGAAAAAGCAGAGCCATTCTCTGGTTTGGTATCAGGAACACGGAGACTGCCTCAGTGCAAACCCACACAGTTTCTATCACAATAGATTGCAGCTGCATCTGACAGATCAAACAAGGTTTCCACGACGGACACAATACTTTATCTCTCTTCTTGTGGCTAAAAATGGGCCGAGGGGCTAATACCCCAGATGAAACTCATAACTCTGAAGTAAATATTCTTTCATTCTTTGGTTTAAGAGCATCATGCGTTGCATTGAAGTCTCCGTATGCTGTTACATAAGTCAAGCTCTGAAGTGAAGAGTGTATGCACTTAGTTCCTCATATGATATGACTGGTATTTCGTGGGTCTGGACTTTGTTACTGTTTGTAAATGTCCTGCATATAAATAGCTAAATTCCACAAGACTCAAAAACAAACAAGATATTGAAATTCTGACTAAACAGATAACAAATGATGTCAGATCCAGCATTGAGACACAGGACATCACACGTCAGATCTTTGGAGGCCGGTAAAGCATGTTCTGTGCAGTAAAAAATATGGCTTGTCTGTTAATTGTTTTTCTGTCTTATTTATACAAGTGGAAGTTTAATGAAAGACTGCTAACCCTGTGGCCTCCATCTAAAAAAAGGTCCTCACCTATCACAGCTACTGGCTAACTTAGTGGCTCCCTGAATGTCCCGAGTGTAAAAAAGAATATGTATTTGTGTGCAACAACAACATTGATCACAAACCCATGCTGAGTGTGTGTGTGTGTGTGTGTGTGTGCTTGTGTGTGTGTATATGGGTGCAGGGATGGAGCGCTCGCAGCAGACACATTAAAGCAAATCCCATTCACTCCCCGCTTGCCGAACAGCGAGCTTGAACCCACACAGTTTGTTCTGTCTCTTGTTAGTCTCTGTCTTTTTCTCCTTTTCAATACCGCCACAACCCGTCCTTTAAGAAACTTTCCCTGGCAGATGGAGACAGAGCACTCTACGCCGACAGCAGCTGCCCCCCCCCCCCTCCCCCGCTTCAGATCTTCTGGCACATGTGGAGCCTGGACTTGGACGATGAGGTGGCGTCTTTCCACACCTTGCAGGAAAGGCCCTTGGCACAGTCACAGCGCTGGAAGATCTCCAGGCCGTGAGAGCCTTTCTTCCTCTGCTTGGTGCAAACCTCCCCCTGCCTCAGCACCGGCTTGCAGATTTTGGTCCAGAAATGGCGGGCGCAGCAGTAGCCCTCCGAGCAGTCGGAGGAACGCAGGCAAGGGTCGCCCTCGTGTCCTAACAGAGGAAGACAGTAAACAGCACTGATCAGCGGAGAACCAGCAAACAAAAGATCTACAAACTGTTTATCACTTCGACATATGTCTGTTTCGGAGAACAGAAAGAAATGCTTAATCAGAGACATGAAAGAACTTTGTGAAATCGCCCCAGCGTCTTGGAGTTTGGCTGTATAGTGATTCAGATTATAAAGCACAGGAAATGTATGATTATTGTTTGTCAAGCTGTTTTCCATAAATATTCCATACATTTCTATTCAGATTGCATTATGTGTGAGAAACCCAAAAAAAAGCATTGATCTGTTAACATTAAAAGAGCAAACAATTTGTTTATTCTGTGTACTTACTATTGTCCCATCTGGTTTAAATATAATATTCTTGGCTGGATGTTACCATTGCTCTTATGAATAGTATAATTTAGTCATGCAGTTTGCAAATGAATATCACCTCCAGTCAAAAGCGTCAATCCACAAACCAATCAATCCATACGGTTGATTAGTTATCTAAATATAACGTTTGAATCATCAGCGTGAGGGACTGCTAAACCTGACTGTTGTTCATTGCTTTAACACCACTGAATTTCTCTTAAACAACAGCTTGTATAATTCCACTATAATGTTATAAGTAGGCACAGTGAGTCAAGCCTGATAAAAGTAAATGCACTCATTTATAGCAACTTTAAGTAGTGCTGCAATTTTCACATTGCTTTTAGCATTGCAGCCTGCTGTCTTGAGGGTGCATTTCAAGTTGAGTAATTTAAGTGTCTCATTAAACCTATTGCTTTATGGATGGGCCCTTTACAATAACTTAAATGGTGACATGAACGCTAAGCAGGGGGCTCAGGGAGTTATTAGCTATAATCATGCCAAACCTGCATTCTGTGGTTTTCACTTGTGTGCTGTCAATGAAAGTGTAGGTGCAGAAACAGCTCTCGCATTGTGGTTACTGCCTCGGCTCCCCACGCTGCGCTCTACGCTCACAGACACTGACACATGAGCCGAGCTGTAATTATCAACATAGTTTGTGGATTGGCGTCAACCATGAACTCTGTTGGACATGCAGACAGTGAACAACAAAAAGATTCAACAGCAGAAAAACTGAGAGAGAAAACAAACGGGCCAGTGTTTGGAGAGGGAAAGGTTTCCAGTGGACATGTTTTAAACATAAACCTCACCTTTGAGAGAGTGCTTAGCGTGCGGATTTCCATTCTTCCTCCAGCTCTGGTCTTTGGTGGAGAGTTTGTTATGCACGTCTAAAGCTGAGATGTGAGGTGAGAGAACACTCTCGGAGATGGGCACACAAATAACTGCAGACAGAAAAATAAGGGATCAAACATCACAGAAAACATTAGCAACCCTGCTTTCTTTGTCAAGAAACTACATAGAATATTATTCAAGCTAATGGCCAACAAGGTTAAAGTCAAATCAATATGGTAGTATGGTAAAATAGTGTGGGTTAGGGATTGCTAAATGTGGCTTTTCAAGGGGATTAACTGCAAATGTTTGGACAGATATGTCACTTTAAAACAAACAACCATTTCCTAGAGGTTCTGCACAAACACTTTCTTCATAAATGAGACCAATGATTCCTAACCTCTGGTCATCAATTCAACTACACTTCTTGATTCTGTCTGAAAGCATGTGTTAAACATTATTTAAATGTCTTTGATTCAGTCTCTTGGAAGCAGTCACTTTTTCCAGAATATCTGCATAAGAAATCAAATGTCTGACTCGTACCCTGCAGTCACAACATAACCCAACCTGATGTGCTTTGAAAATGTGTGTGTGTGTGTGGTGTGTGTGGTGTGTGTGTGTGTGTGTGTGTGTGTGTGTGTGTGTGTGTGTGTGTGTGTGTGTGTGTGTGTGTGTGTGTGTGTGTGTGTGTGTGTCGTGTGTGTGTGTGTGTGTGTGTGTGTGTGTGTGTGTGTGGTACGTACAGTTACTGCAGCGGTTCCCAGGACAGCACATGGCGTCTCGATGGCAGCGCTTCTTCCTCCTGCGGCAGTTGAGGCAGCGGGGGGGAGACTGCTGAGGGCTGTGGCAGTAGCTCCCCACGCTGCACTCCTTATCGTTGCTGCATGGGTACACCTGCTGAGGAAAAGATGCATTTACTTCATGAATTTACATCGTTCAAGAAAGATCCTGCCTTTTAAAAGCATACATTTGTCTTAACAAAGGTGTGTTCAAAGTTGAAAATGTCTGTGATTTCAAAAAACAATTAGCAGCTTTGAGAAAAAGATATCAACGGAATATAATAACCAATGCATTTTGCCTTGTAGGTGCAGGTTTGTCAATACGATTTAAGTAAATAAGTGCAAAGTGGTGGCAGTGGAATCATCCATATTTTCAGAATATATTAAACAAGTGCATGTCACAATGTGAAGTTAAGTTTTGTTTTATTTTAGCAAGCATGAGCAGGTCTATTTCAAAATGTGCTATGATATAAAAATGGTTGCCTTTGATATTTGACATTGATCAACTTTCCTCCGAGTCATAAAACAACATGTGGCTGTGCATGAGTGTAAAAAAGGGCTGTTCAACATCTAAAGTCATAAAAATGTCCCGTTTGATTGGGCATTAGATCATCTGATTGGCAAACCAATGTGTTTTATCCCCCTAAATGTATTTGATTAAATGTGGCATATTATGTGTTGGTCGTGTGTGATCTCTGATTCGCAATGATTACAAAATGTCTACCAGATTATCAGAGTGCTGTGATGCAGAGGGCACCGTGGTTACAGAGGAGGCACATTGTGTATTGTGTTGGTCATGCACAACTCTGTAAACCGCAACTTTCCCAGACCTAACACAGTAACATTCCTTCTAATTCCATTCCAAGCACCACAGTTACACCGTGCACCTCAGGTCGCAAAAGTTAAATTGTAGCTGTTAACAAGCCAAATAAAACTCATGTTATGCTTGAGTTAGAAGTCTTTAAAGAGACTCTTGGTTAGACCAAAAACAGGAGCTTGGGAAAAAACTCAACTTAAATTCAAGTCATCATGTAGGAAAAGTCCACATCTTACTTTTACCAGATAGAATTTGATCAAGGAGGCAGACAATCAGATAATATCCAACGATATTTTAATTGCATTTATGTGCACTTTTTGTGAATTGCATTGACTGTTTCAAGAGAAGATTGTTATATTCTTTACTAAGGGAAACCTTGAAGATTTAATTCAAGTTAAGAGTGACTTTGTGTTTAAGGTTTCTATGCTGTCTCTTATTTTAGACAGTGATGCTAGATTTTACGAGTGTCATTTTGAACATGTTTTTGACATCTGAACCAAATGCCATTTACCATGAGGTGGTGACAGAAGTCTCAGCAGCATGCAGAGATCTGAAAACTCAACTAATAACTCTATAAATACTATTAAGGATGAGTAAGAAAATATGTTGATTGTTTGCTTTGGGTAAACTGACTACGGGCTGTGGTCCCTTTGCATTCAATTTGAGAGGACGACATGTTGTAGGGATTAACATGTCTGCACTTAGAGTCATGTAATGTGGTCATTTGTTTCAGGTCCCAGACAATAGAGCTATTACAATTTCCAAACCACTTCAGTTTCTCTCAATTTCTCTCAAAGTGTTCAGAGGGTTAATGAGTCTACAGACATAATTGAGGGGCAATTACTGTAGCTAATCATACTCCTTCATAGTCAATTTGGCTTTGTTTTTGCTCTAGTATTTCTTGTGTTTACACTGAGAGGTTGGGACATTCTGTTGTCCAGCTAGACACACGAATAACTTTTATGTCTTTACCGTAAGTGCAGTGAAATGACCACTTTAGCAAAAACAACCACTGTCAACACCATCGAGAAGTACAATTAAGGCCAAGCTCATTTTTTCCATAGCAAGCGCGTGCACCGATGGGAAGTTTTACTGGAATTCTGCACACATGCAAGAACTGCCCCCGTTCGTTTTGGAGAAGGAACAATAGTGTTTGTTGTACATTTGTTTTGCAAGAAATGTCACAAATTTGCACTGAATTCCTCAAGAGCTATAAGAAAACACCCAAACTCAGGTTCAAGTCCACATGGGCGAGACACAAAGCCGCTCAGGTCACTGGGTTTTTCCAATTGCTGCAAATCCTCTTAGTATTTTAAGCCATTTGCTTTCTACGATAGGGATTTGTTTTTGCAATGGATAGACAACTATTCAAACATGCAGATCAGTGAAAATTGTCAGGATTACATTGTGGCTGTGTAAATAATGTCCCGTGTAGACCGACATTAGAACAACGTTTTGGCTGGCACACCACGACCAGCACCACATCCCAATTTAGCTGGTACTGTACTGACAGATCTGATTTAATGTGGCTTACTTACCACTGACAAACATGGAACAATAAACATGAGAATGAACAAGACAGAGGGTTAATTTAGAGTATTATCATTTCAGCCACAATAAAAAGGAAACTCCTTTTGGGTTTATGACGGTCAGCGGAGAGGGGCTGCCGTGCCCAAAACAACAATAATGACTGTACGCCACATGTTCTATTGATCTATCAACAAAATCAATATTTCAGCACATTAGAAGTTGTTTCTCAACATGCTTCAGAAAGTGAACAAGATTAGAGTTGTTGGACGAATGCCATGCAGACTTTCTCAGGCTGGAAACACATGGAGGCAATGATACAGACGTAGAAAAATGAGCAGGAATATTCAACTGAATCCTCATCCATCATTATGACAGATTGCCACAATGCAGATGCTTAATGTGTTGATGAAAGTAACAAAGCCCTGGTGTTTGATGGATTCTAAATATTTCTTAATTACTACTGTGTTCAGAGCAGTTCTCAGAATATTCAAAGGATTTGTTTCAAAGGGACGCTCCTCCGATCGTACACACGAAGACCAGTTTACACGTCATGGGGAGGACTTTTCAACAAATGCATTGTCTTCTGTGGTTTCCAGAGGAAAATAACTATTGATGTAATTAGGGTTGTCTTGGCTTTGGGGTATAACGATTAATCCGGGGGTTTGAAATAAATGGTTGTTGGCAAGGCAGGTAGGAACAAATACTGTATGGACGCCATCAAGCTGCATTATGGGAAGAGTATAGAATCCAGCAATTTCACTATTCCTTTTTTAAAGCTCCCTCCCTATAACTTTATTTGTGTGCAACATTAATTCACTGAGAAGCCCTAACATAAGCGCAAAATCTAAAAAGAACAATATTATTAATTACCTTTGGCTTTCTTGTAGAAAGTTGGTTAAGAATCTTGATACCGATTTTTCTCAATGTTTCTGCGCAATAAAGTTGCAGCTCCATCTACAGTAAAACCAACCCTTTCAATTTTTTGGAAACAGACTTTGGGCTTAGAAATTAAACCAACAATATAAATAAGGTCTTAATTAGTAAGATTTTGAGGAGCTCTTTATGCTAAGTAAAGCTATTCGCCCCCTGGCTCTAGCTCTGTTTCTAACACACAGACATAAGCACTGTATTGATCTTCTAATCCGACTATTAGCAAGAAAACAAACTCAAGCTGTACTTTTGAAAGCTTTTAACCACATGTCAAGGTATTTCTCAGCAGATGGACTTTACTCCACTCAGAGAAAAATCTAAGTTTCTTCTTATTCTAATGTCATGAACACATTTTCCACCTCATCAGCCTGTTATTGTGTCAACTGCTTGTTTTTGTGTCAACTGCTCATTAAGAGGAACATGTACATCACCACGTACTGTTGGGGTGATCACAGCTGAGGAGAGAAATATGCTTGAAATATGGTCTCAAGTTCAAAAAACTGCAGTGGGAGTTTTTTTCCGTGACATGAAAAATGTGCTGCTATCTAAATATGAAGACAAATGGGCCCGAGAACATGCAGAAGTACTTCATACCCCCTCCAACTCCGACTCCTTTCTGTCTCTTTGGCCAGCTGCTTGGATTGATTGCAATGCATATGTTAAGGGCAGAAGCAGAAGAAGAAACCCAGGGATCACCTCTTCCATCACGGCTCAACCTGGAAGACACAGCCCTTTGAAACCCAACGATACAAGACTGACCCTTAAGTCGCATCTGATAATCTCGCCTTATCTTGTCATGTTTTAAAACGCCTCATTCGCATCTTCTGAGGGATGAAGCTCCATTTGGATGCATCTCATTTATCTCACATCTTTTGCTTCTGTTGCTCCCTTATTTTCCCTTCAACAGCCTTCGCACATAAAAGCACAGCCCTGGATCCTGCGCAGGAAGTGGGATGAAAACGGTGTACTCTGCAGCCTCTCTTGGTATGCTGGTGGGACGATAAAGGCAGAGACAGACAGAGGAAGCCCCCGGCCCTGTCTCGTGCTGCCCTCGTGCTGGTGAAGCGCTGCGGCTTTGAAGAGGAACTTTGAATGTGCAGGAGCAACAATCTACAAGGGATTTACTGCCGGATATACAGGGCTTTGAACCCTTACCCTCTTTGGGTCCCTTATTTACCTTTGTGGAGTCATTCCAAAGTGCTGATATAATGATGTGGAAGTGCCGTGTAATGCATAGAAATAACAAAAGGTATTGCCTCTGGTGTGGAGTTTGAGGGTTTAAAATTCAGAGATGGTGAAGGGGTTCGGATAATATGTTTCACTTTGTACAAAAACACAACAAGGCCCTTTCCAAGAAGAGTGGTTTTCTTTGAACTCTTCTACAGACTTACAAAGAAATTGCAACATGGTCCTAACAAAAAAGGCCGAAAGAATATAACAGAGTTAATTGGTACATTCTTTAACTTTGTTTAAACATAGGCTATCCTCTTTTCTGAACCCCTTTACCACCATAATCATTTCCATACAGTCCCTTTACTGTTTGTATACGGAGGGCTACTGCCTTAACAATAACAGCAGTTCATAATTATTGTCTTGCATTGTTTATGTCTAACCAAAAACATTAAAGAGCAAACTACAACAAATCCGAAGTAAAAAAAGGATCAAACACTCAGCACACATCCAAACTTTGAGCTCATGCTTGCCCTTGACCTTCAGAATTCAGACCCTAACCTGAAACAGTGAATGGTGTTAATGACTGGCAGGGGCCTTACAGAGTCAAATAAACGATGTCACTGGATAAACAAACTTCATATGCCCTGAAAGCACAGACAGGCAGTATCAGATAACATAGGGATGGCTGCACACAAGTCACTCGTACAAACCATGTCTTCAAACGCAGCTTGGCGTCTTTCATCACTCAAAACACATGTGTTTATGGGCATGTCCCTTTGAGTGCTAGAATCCAAACTCTCCAAAAACTAGGCTTTCCTTAAGTTAAGTATACATGCTGGGTTGATCTTATTCATCGGACACAAAGAGAGGCACACAGCCAGCGTACATGACTGCGCTCTTCAAAGACTATCAAAGGAAAGGGGAAAAGCTCTATATGCTATTCTAGCAAGTGGGCTGCTCTAAAAGGTGTAATCCTGTGGAATGAGAGGTGCACAGGTCGCCTCTCTCATTAACAGGTCCAATTTCAATGAAGTGAGTTTCCACATGAGACCCCTAATGGCTCCAGTGCATGGCCCTCACAGCACCCGAGGGACCCACGGACTGCAAAGGCCACAGGACGAGGGACTGAAGCACAAACGGAGCCGAGCGCTAACAAGCACTCACACCTCTTTTCTCAGCTCATTAGGATCACCAAACATTCATTTAGGGTTAGGGGGCAGGCAGGGCTGAGAGAAAGGGAAAGGACGTGGCTCTACGTTTACAGGCAGAGCCCTCAGAGATCGCTTATTAAAGTCATCTCTGTGTTGAATTAAATAAAGCAGCTAGTTGACTGGCTGACTGACCGGGCTGCTGTTTTACAGACACGTACCGCATGAATGCCGCCACGCTGTCGGTTCCCCTGTGGGTTCAGAGGTCACAGTGGTGAGCCTGTGCTATCCATTTCTGTTGGTTCTCTTCCAAGGATCCAACAGTGCCACCCACGAGCGGCAGCTGTCAAGGTCTTATAGGCGTACATTTCGGTTTTGTCGGTTTTACTCGAGACAGGATGATGTGAAAAGGGTCGGACAACTGGAAAGCAATTTGCCCAAACTGAACCACGCCGAGGGAAAGCCAAAACCCGACCCTGGTTAGTGTGTGATTAATGTAAGCCTTATCGCCCAAAGCTGTCAGTAGCAACAGGAAATAAAAACACATTAAGCTGTCAAACAACCGACAGCTTTGAGAAGCGGTTCTAATTTGATGACTAAAAACACAAATTACACCCTTGTTTCCTGCTTCAACGGCTCCTCTCCACAGGGTGGCTGGACTCATTCCTCGATAACTTGCCACATTTAAACATGAGCCAACGAGGGCGATTCTTAGAGAGATTTCTTGTAATTGTAAACTTAACTGTCAGAGAAAGAGCTGCCTTACATGGTGTGAAAAGGTTATATATTTGTGTTTGACTGCAGACTGAAAAAAGGGTCATATATTGAGATTATCACTCACAAAACTGGCAAACTGGCATAGGTACAATCTGGAAACCACTGTCATTTCTCCCAAGGTTTAGTAAACTGACAACTATTTCTTACAAATTCAAACAAACAGCATCCATCGACCATAAATCTTAGATATCAACTCTGAGGTTTCCTCATAATGCAAATGCCAGAGGAGAAATTTGAGTTGATGCATGCCCATTTTCCAAACTTACACCCAAGCCTTAATCAGCAGTAATCACTTCACAAAATCAGACAAAGTTGAAAAATATTTCAGGGTGCCTTCTGTGAACCACTTCAGAGAGAAAGCGTCTCAGTGATGAGCCGTTTGGTGCTGTGCAACCTGCTCAGTGCATTTATTATAATTAAAAAATCTAAGGTAGAGTAATTGCAGTTATATACTCCCTGTGATCACTCCTAGACTAAATATATGCCTCACTATGCTATTACAGCCTCATGAAGAGAGCAGACTTGTTATCATTGATTTATTCTGCTCATAAATGGCCACTGAATATGATGAGATGCAGAAGGTCAGTGCAGTTTGCCTGCCAGCGTCAAGCCGCATTTCTGGCCAAGGCTGAGCTGCGGCTGTTACTTTACAACTCTGGAAAACCTCTTGGCATCCAGAACACACACACACACACACACACACACACACAAATACATATCTACCCGCTCCTGCTATAAATGCTATTCGCCATCTTCATTTGGACACACTGCACCATGACATTTTCTAACAGTGTGGTGGTCTCTGCACACATATATCGGTTCCCCTCAGTCCACTTTTCCAAACCGCTCCACATTATTGCAATGGTAAAGATGTAAGCAGGCGTTCAAATTGAGGTCTGGCAGGGTTTGCTTGAGGTTGGATCTCCACAGAGGAGAGAAAGTGGCTTTTCCATCATTTCTGCTGCCTGAGCTGGATGTCAGAGCGCTGCTCTCAGCACTACGCGCTTCACAGATACCCAACACTATCACCACTGCAAGTGATACAACAGACAGTTCAATGGCCACATGTCAACATGAGTTAGAGGGTGAGACCATCAGGCAGGAAAAATGCATAAGGAGAAGAGTAATCAGCTCTTTCAGTGTGTTGAGAGACCTGATGGAGATGTGGCAGTGCCATCTGCTGCTCAAAAAGATACTCTGATGTTTAATTAAAACTTAAAGTTAGTGGTTATCTATCTGGGAGATGAAGACCACTTGGCATTTGTCAGTTTTGTGTTTGACTGATGTGTCATGTTTCTTTTCCACATTAGTATAAATTCACCTCTCCAAAAAATGTATCATAAATATCCACTTATTGGAAAGATTTGGTGCCTTGGAGAACTTTGCTTTTCCGGCCAAGCAATAAATGTACAGCTCTAATTCCTCACTTGATAAAAGTCACTCATAATGTTCACAACTTGTTACTTTTGCCAGAATAAAGCGTGCCAAATCTTTAATATTTTTTGATCCCACGTTTGCTGTCAAACTACAGTAATATGGCACTTTGTTGAAACAGCAGGAAATGCCAGGAATTGATAACTTTGAGTGAGTATTAAGTGGTTGGTAAGAGTATCCCTCAGAGGCCCCACAGTAAGAATCTCATAATCCCAGCAAGCGTCTGGACCACTTTAATGACACTAAGACCCAGACAGAAAATTACCCTAAGTGTTAACTTTTTCTCACATTTCTGCTGGCATTGATGATTTACTGTTGAAGTGCGACTGTGGCGTCAGGTCTGAAAGGCAATTAGGGTTTATGAGGGGTCCAATCCCTGCAATTTCCAATAACGATTCACACGTGAGAAAGCTCTTTTAAGGCATATAGGGCTACTTTACTTACACACCTCAAGATCCACCATAACGACAGTTTTGAAGAGGACTCGCACAAGTATGCACTTCTCTATATCCACGGCATACTAATATTGTGATTTACAAAGGGGGAAACTGTTCTTCTTTCTTGTTATGCTTATTATAATAAGTTAACACTACTTTTTGGACGTTATTATTACCACTAGTATTAATTATTCCACGGCTGCTAATCATGTTACCCAAATGAAGGCTGTGCGTAAATGTACTGCTGGCATATCCATCCATACATGCTCAGATAATGAAATAATGAAATGTACCTGTGCAAGGACGTTGTGTTTCTTGGTGATCCCGATGTGAGCAGTGCGGTTTGTAGCCGGTGTAGGTGACTCTTCCGACAGAGCTGGCTTGATTAAGTTCGCCTTTGGACGCGCCTCTGATACCTGGGATGTCCCCGTCTTCAGTGAAGCGACGAGAACCACCACAACACAGCATCTATTCCAAGTTAGGACGAGCATCCTTGAAAATGAACGTAAAAATACTAAAAAGAGAAAAAAAGGACTTGAATAATCTTAGTTTCTAAATGACAAGTGTGCGCACTGTCAGTGTCCATGCGTTACGCAATACAGAGAGTGGTGATGATGATGAAAATCAGTTATTCAGAAGAATGACAACCATCGACACAGTTATCTGAGAGCCCAGTGTAGGAGGGAAACAATGAAGAAGTGGATCTGTTAAAATGCTGATGCTCTGAGGGTCAGAGAGAAACTTGACAAGAGGTTTCCTCCCCTGTCTCCGTCTGGCTGTGAGTGAGCACTTAGTCCTGCAGCCGGGTGTTTTATGATCTCGGATACTTTCTTTTTATAGGATCTAATGAGTTTGCTTCCTCCGCCCCTATTCACAACTGACAAAGAATGAAACTGATCTGTGCGCGGCACTGCTGCTTGCACATTGTCGTCTCGACACCGGCACCAGGAGCCCCGTTGGGAAAAGGCTATAAAATTATACACTGTGTATTTTAACTGGGCGCTTGACCCTTTTTACTGCGAGGCTGCATGGGCGCGTATAGGAAACGGAAAAAGTCAGAGTGGGGCTGCTTTAAAGAGAGTTTGTAGGTAACGTGGATCATTTTACGTTATCACAAGAATGGATTTGTGTTTAGGAAATTGTTACCTGTAATGATTATAACTGTAAAATATTAAATATCCCACTAAGGCCACCTCAAAAGCAAAACGCCTCATTATTGAGTCCAGAATGATGTCCTGACCAATGGGACATTTAAATAAGCAAGAGGCGGTCCAGGGTCCATTTAACCAGCATTCCCGAATCGCATTTAAAAAAAACTATCTGATAACCATTGTTTTCCCTCTGTGGGAAAGGCTTCCCTCATGATGCAAGGAATGCCAATGGTGATAAAGTTAGTGATATAAGTATTATAGAGAGTCCTTTGTTTGAGTCTTGTATCAGGATAAGTTATATTCATGTTGGTTATGTGCTGGTACAATGAACTCTTTCAGTTTCACGCAGGTAAAGCCTATGATTTCGAAAAAGAAAAAATGCATTTAGGACAGGGACACAATGGAGATAATTCTTGTTGCTGATTTGATCCCTTGTCTTTAACCCTCTACTGTATGTACTAAGTCCTATTTCAGATTTTGCTGTAATTATGTAATCGCATCACTGCCTTAACCTTATGACTCCCATCCTCCTGAAAATGGGAATATAATGCACAAATATAAACCACATTTTATGTAAATCAAACACAAAATACATCTTATAAATGTGAGGACATAAGCAGACGGTCGGATCACCCAACCATCTTTCCCACAATGGCCATGAATCTCCGCTTATAATGCTTTAGTCTTCACACAAGTGTAATCTATTCAAGGCTGGAAGCTCGGCTGGGCTGGGATGAAACCAGTATACCGGTAAAGGCTTCTGACCTCAAAAGCTATCCATCACATGCTTCAATTCAAAGTGTCAAGTTCTTTTGTTGGAGACAATGGACAACCAACTGAACTGGGGAGTGGGAGGAAGTATTGGACTTGTCTGATGTAACTGTAGATGCTTAGAGGTGATACCTTTTTAGCCACCTTTGTCACCCGAGTGCACCGTGATTTAACTTGAAAGCCATTACAGACAGTTGCTTTTCGCAGAAATATGTTTTTGAAGAACTCATTCATTTCTCTCAGGATTAGTTACCTGCTTGACATAAACAGTCGTGCAGTCCCACACTTTTCTGATAATCAAAACTTGCCACTATGAATATCTGAATTATGCATTCTGTGGGATTCGATCAAGATTTTGTTCAAATAACCAAGCACAACAAATAAAATGCCTCGGGAAACATCTTCATTTATTCCACAAACTGCGGAGATGCCCATCTGGATTTTGTTTCCCTTCACTGATTAAACAGCTGAAAAAGTCCACAAATGGTGAAAGTGGTGAAAGTGAACCAAAGGGGCTGGTTTGGATGGTCTTTGGCATTTCAAACATGCATCACTTTAATGCATTCAAGCAGCAAAAGAGGAGACACTTAAAATGTTGAATACTGATGAAACCCTGGAGGTCCACAAGTTACATGTTGATGCTTTAGTGCTGATTAATGCATGTGGAGATGTCCAAAGAACCCATAGAAGACGAGATGTGACAGGAATCTAAGTTACAGATGATAAAGTATCCCAATGGAGGGAAGGTGATGTGAATGTTTCAGACAGCAAGGCTTCTGGTGCTTTAATAAAGGTTCTACATGGGCTGACTCCATTTTTAAGGATGGCAGTGTGTATACGGCACTGATGCTTTGTTACTTATTTCAACACTGTGGGCTAACAAAGAGCTTTTAGGACGTCACCAATTAGTGTCAAAAATGGGGTCATCGAAAAAAAGGAGAGGAAGCAGGCTCAGTTTCTTCACAACTATACTTTACAGACATTCAAGAACAACCCAGGCCAAGACCTGTGATTGTTTTCTTGGCTCTCACAGTTGGAAAGAGTAACCATGGGATTATTTTATGTCCTGACATGCTATCATCACCCTGCCTTCACATGGTAATCACATTTTGACGACTACTTTTTGCAGCGTTAATGCTCTGACGACACAACCGTTGCTGGGTTTCAGAGTTTAAAAAACCAAACCATCTGCAAAATAATATCACTGTTGATTTGCAATCTGTTTGAGAAAAGCTTAAAGGGGACCTATTATGCAAAATCCACTTTTTCATGTCTTTTATACATAAACATGTGTCCCCTCTGTGCAAAGAGATTAGGCGCTCTCAGTACTTAGTTAATGAGAACTTAGTTCATCAGAACTCTTTAGTTCTGATGAACTAAAGAGCAGATCACGTTCACACCGGAATAAGTCCCTGAGGGAGGATTAGGCAAATGAAGCCGCTGACGTCACTTCTTCTTCTTCTGCTTTGGGTTTACTGGCAGGCCGCAAACAACTTCACGGCGTATACTGCCACCCGAAGTCCCCGGCCGGAAGTCCCCGGAGTTGGGGACTGGCTTCAGTAGAAGCTGCTGGGAGTCCCAGCAGTACATTTCCGAGTAAATCGCCAGAACGCCGACACCTCCTCATCACTCCACCGCTCCCATGTTTTTTTTTGTGTTGCCATAAGTTAGTCTCTCTCCGTTGGTGCGCTGGGCTAAAGCTAATGCTACTAATGCTAATGCCAGCAAATACAATGGCGGCTTCACAAAACTTTTCCGAGTTTTACGGGGCGTGGTTTGCAATTCGCCCAGTCAATCAGAAATGGGAAACTTTTTCTCCCAGGAAAGTACCTACTCTCTAGCAGGGACTGAAAAGGTTCGCAAAAAAAAGTTCTAGTTCCAGATCTTTTTGGTGTGAATGCAAAATCCCAGGAACTATCGGAACTATTCCTGGGAAAAGTGCTCCGGTGTGAAAGCTCCTATTCTGAAAGTTTCAGGAAAAAAGATTCGCTCACTTTTTGTCCTGATCCATTTATATAAAAACCTGTCTGAAAATGAGCTGATCAGATTTTGGCCACTTTATGATGTCATAACGATTTTTTTGGCTTGTGTAACCATTAGCCAATCACCGACCAAGGTAACCCCCCCCCCCAACCTTATCACCTGAATCTCCTCCTAGAGCACCATTGTGTTCTTTTTAACCAAATGTCTCTCAGAGGGGAGTGGCTCCTTATTTTCATCTAAAGTAACAGACAGAGAATCAGCACTTTTGAAACAGGGCTGAAACAGAGGGGATTATGGGATGCTGCAATGATCTGTTTGGTATTTGGAGCCAAACACTTCAGAGACATGTTTTGTATATATCTGAGACCTATAATATATTGATGAAAAACAGTATAATAGGGGACCTTTAAAGTCATTTCATGGCAGGTTGACTCCCTGGACACCTGACTGGATAACTCTGGCATTACTTGCAGGTGAATTATAACTGGAAAAGGTCTTATCCATTGGAATAATAGTCATGTGACAGCCATGTGACGCAGGTTGTCATCTGCCAGGCACCACAGTCTCCATCTTTGGCTGACATTGGGTGTTTCTCAATCGCGAGTAAAGCTGCTTCAGAGCCACTACTTCAAGCATACTACGTCATCGAGTGCCGCCGAAGTACTGTTCCAATCTCCAGTATACTTGGAAATCTACCGAGCCCGGCGTACTCCGTTTGGAGAAATATCGAGTCTGCACATGAGTAGACTTCGCGGTCTTAAAATCCCCACAATGCTTTGCGCACGGACCAATTTCCCCAAATCTGTGGCAGAAGATGTAAGGCGGGGCCTCTCATATGAGGCACACCTGCACACTTGCTAGCGTGTTCCACACTTCGTTTTCCGAATGCCAGGAAGTATTCTTGACTCGCTTCTGAAGCAAGATGCTCGGCAGACATGTGCTACCAAGCAAGCGTACTCGCGATTGAGAAACACCCACCGTCACATCCTGGCCCTGGCTGATCGCCTCACTCCCTCACCTGTGTATTTTCGCTCCCTGTTAATCACCTGCCTGGCCTCAGCCTCAGCTGTCCCTAATCATTACTCCTCACCTGTGTATTTAGTCTGTGCTGTTTCCTTGGTCAGTGCCAGTTCGTCTTGTCTGTATAGCAGCAAGTGCTCCATGTTACTCTCCTGACGTAAGCTATTGTTCTAGCTGCTTAGCATTTTTACCAACCGAGTTGGTTGTTTTTTTTGTTGTTGCTTCTTTAGTAGTTTTCCGCCAACTTAGTTGGTTGTTTTTCGTTGCTTCCAGTCTGTACATTTTTGGACCTTTGCCTGTATTTGCCTTTTGGATTAAACGCCTGACTAAAGACCTTTTTGCCTGGTTGTGCTCTTGAGTCCTATTTTTGCTCGTGCCCGTACTTGGGCTTGATAGACATGGCTGAATGTTTGGTGCTAGAAGAATAAATATAGTTCAAGAGTGGTCTTCGGCTGGATTTAGACTAGAGAGAGTGAACAATTGTTTGCATAATAAGTAAAAATGTATGGACTTTGAATGTTTGTAAAAGTTGCTCTTATCAGTATTTGGTATGGTAGAAATGGATCAATTGGTTATGGGTTGGGGTTTATGGTTAGGATAAAGCACACCTTAAGTGTAGTTGGGATCAGTTGATTGGTGTTGATACACATGATGAAACTGCTATGTCAACTATTCACACACTAAATTAATTTGTAAATAAATACAAATAAATTGCGGGTTTGTGCAGTTTATCTGTTGAACTGGTGAAGATTCTCTCTGATCAATCACAAACTAAAAAGTACTAGGTAACAGATTATATCCACAACTTTTGTTGACAAAATAGAGCTTGAGTCGAGGAGAGCCGTACAGTACCATG